AGTCAGCCCGTCCCGACCTTGCAGGATATCAACCTCTCCGTCAAGAAGGGCGAGCTGCTGGCCGTGCTCGGAAAGGTCGGTGACGGAAAGAGCTCTCTCCTCTCGGCCATCCTCGGTGAGATGCAAAGGACGGACGGGGAATGCGTCGTCCGCGGCACGACCGCCTACTTCACCCAAGGCGGCTGGTGCATGGGCGCCTCGGTCCGCGACAACATCCTCTTTGGCCTTGCTTACGAGCCTGAATTCTACCAACGCTGCATTGATGCCTGCGCACTCACTCCGGACCTAGCCATCTTGCCCGAGGGCGACCGCACCGAGGTCGGCGAGAGGGGCGTCAGCCTCTCGGGAGGTCAACGTGCCCGGGTCGCTCTCGCCAGGGCTTGCTACGCTCGTGCCGACATCTATCTGCTGGACGACCCGCTGGCGGCTGTCGACGCCCACGTCGGCGCACACATCTTCAAGAACGTCATCGGACCCGAGGGCATGTTGAAGAGTAAGGCCAGGATCCTGACGCTGAACTCGGTCGCCTGCCTGCCCGAGTGCGACCAGATCGTCTCGGTGCGCAGGGGCATCATCTTGGACGAGAGGGGAAGCTACTCCGAGGTCATGGCTCGCAAAGGCGAACTGTTCAACCTCATCACCGGCCTCGGCAAACAGTCGGCCAGGGACGAGGGGGCGACCGACCTCCGGGACGAGCTCGAGGTCATCGACACCGACAAGGAGCTGGTCAACGGCCAGAGCGGGGAGGAATCGCTGAGCGGGGGAAAGCTGCACCGAAGAATCAGCACAGCCTCGCTCCAGAGGCCCAAGACGCTGACCAAGCGGCAGGTCAAGCAGGACACGATCCGGCAGCTGCGTGAGACCACTCAGCCCAAGGAGAAGTCCCAGCAGGGCTCGGTCAAGCCCGAGGTCTACAAGCAGTACGCTAAGAGTGCCAGTTACCTCGGTGTCGCGCTCTACTTCCTCGCGCTTGTCGCCACGCAGACCGCCCAGGTATCTAGGGACATCGTCCTCAAGCAATGGGGTGCCAAGAACAGCGAGACCGGCGGCTCTAAGGAGGACACGAGCTTCTACCTCACCCTTTACGGCATCGTCGGCATCTTCGCTTCGATCTCGTTCTGCCTTGCCCCCTTCCTTCTCAACGTCTGGCTCGCCATCTCGAGTGCCAGGAAGTTCCACGACGATATGTTCAACAGCGTGCTCAGGAGCCCTCTCCAATGGTTCGAGAGCACGCCCACCGGAAGGCTCCTCAACCTCTTCAGCAGGGACGTAAACGTGATCGACGAGATCCTACCGCGCGTCGTCCACGGACTGGCCAGGACGATGATCGTCGTCCTGGGCGTGCTCCTCGTCGTCGCCTACTCTGTCCCCCCATTCCTGATCGCCGTCATCCCCCTCTCGTTTGCCTACAGGGCCATCCTGCGCTACTATCTCGCCACTAGCCGCGAGCTCAAGAGGCTCGACTCGGTAAGCAAGACGCCCATCTTCAACTGGTTCCAGGAGTCGCTCGGCGGACTGAGCTCGATCCGAGCATTCGGCCAGCAGACAAGGTTCATCGCGACCTCGGAGGCGCGGGTGGACCGCAACCAGCAGTGCTACTTCCCGGCGGTGACGTGCAACAGGTGGCTGGCTGTGAGGATCGAGATGATGGGCTCGTTCATCATCGTCGTCGCCTCGACGTTGGCCGTCCTGATCAAGACGCGGAACGGAAACATGGACGCAGGCCTGCTGGGCCTCATGATGTCGCAGGCGCTCAACACGACCCAGACGCTTAATTGGGTCGTCCGGTCCGCCTCCGAGGTCGAGCAGAACATTGTTAGCGTCGAGAGGGTCCTTTCGTACACCGACCTCGTCTCGGAGGCGCCGTACGAGGTCGAGGACAACAAGCCGCCCGCCGGCTGGCCCAGCGAAGGTGCCGTGACTCTGAGCAACTACTCAACCAGGTACAGGAGGGAACTTGGGCTAGTTCTGAAGAAACTCAACCTCGACATCCGGGCCGGGGAGAGGATCGGCGTGGTTGGGAGGACGGGGGCGGGCAAGTCGAGCCTCACCCTGGCCCTCTTCAGGATCATCGAGGCTGCCGAGGGAAAGATCTTGATCGACGGCGTCGACGTCTCCAAGATCGGGCTCAAGGACCTCCGATCGGCCATCGCCATCATCCCCCAGGACCCTCAGCTATGGGAGGGTTCGCTTAGGGACAACCTGGACCCAACCGGCAAGTCGGACGACCAGGAGCTTTGGAAAGCGCTCGAATCGGCCAGGTTGAAGGACCACGTCAAGACGCTCGAAGGCGGGTTGGACACGACCCTGACCGAGGGAGGGACCAACTTCAGCGCCGGTCAGAGGCAGCTCATCTGCATTGCCAGGGCCTTTTTGAGGCACGCCAAGATCCTCGTCCTCGACGAGGCCACCTCGGCCATCGATCTCGAGACCGACGCGCAGGTCCAGGCCATCGTCAGGACCGAATTCAAGGGCACCACCATCACGGGTGAGTACAGGACGTTGTTACTTTTCCTCTTTCCTTTTCGTGATCGCTGACCATTCCCCCTCTTTCCAATCACACTCACACCCACCCCCCACAAACAGTCGCCCACCGACTCAACACGGTCATCGATTCCACCCGGGTCCTCGTCCTCAAGGATGGAACCGTGGCCGAGTTCGACACCCCCGAAAGCCTCCTAGCAGACAAGACCAGCATCTTCTTCTCCATGGCCGTCGAGGCCGGTCTTGCCAAGGTTGAGTGAAGGGGTCAGTTTCGGCGGAGGAAGGGAGTAAATTAATTCAAAAAATAGTCACTATGTGTAGAACCTCCTCCAATCCCAAGCATGGGAAGTTCCGATCTTCATCAAAATAGTGATAGTAACGAAATGAAAATGGAACAATCGCCGATCCCCACGTGACAGCTTGTGCTCGGGCTCTGTCGGGATCGATTGGGGAATAAATTCCCAGACTCCTCTTTTTTCGTTCCGCCTCTGACTAAGGTGACTCTTCTTGGGCTTCACCAAAGTGGAGATCAAATTGAAAGAGATGAAACGAATGCCGTGACAGTGCGAAGCCTTCACGAACAGACGCAAGCCATCCCATCCCCCTCGGCTGAAAACGCCATAGGATGGAAAAAGGACGTGAGGATAGAAGTGGTTGGTCGTCGATGCGAATGTGGGGTTGAGGGGGGGGGGAAGGTACTTTCTCGCAAAGGCGTGATCATCTGGTTACAGTGGGGTGGAAGGAGGAGGAAGGTCAACAGCATACAAGGTCGAACGCTCAAGCGAGCGTGTTGGTGAAAAAGTCGGCGAGCCTCTGATAAACGTCTTGGAAGGCTTCGAGGTTCTTCTGATCCTTGAGGTCGGCCCTGGCTGCTGCCCAACCGTGGTGGTTCTCCTTGTAAAGCTTGTAGACGCTCTGGGAAGCGAAGGGTTTGGATTGGACGACCTTCTCGAACTGGTCCACCGCATCCTGGGGTTCGTCCTTGGAGGGGAAGTTGGCCACGGGCACGGTGAGGTTCTCGGCGTCCTTGGGATCCACCATGGCGGGGTGGACCTGAGCGACCGAGCTGAAGACGGTCCCTTTCGCTCCTGCCAGGACGGAGAGTTTTCCTCCCCAACAGTAGCCCAAGAGACCGACTTTGGAAGCACCTTTGGATTTGAGCTCGTTAGCGACCGCTTCCAGCTCTGGCTTCCTTGCTCCGAAATCGCCTGCCTCTCCAAAGACTAACAGGAGAGTCGGAATTTCACAACCAAAAAAGAAAATGAAAAGAAACAAGGAAAAAGGAAATCATCAACATCTAGCTCCTTCTCAACGAGCCCGAGGACAAGGATGCGAGAGACGAATGACTCAGAGGAGAGCTTTGAAGCGTGAAGGGACGGAAGGAGGGAGAGAGGGGAAAAACGGGGGTAAGCGAGTCCTCACACTTCTGCAGAGCCTCCTGCTTCTCCTTGGTGTCAGGAGGGTAGTACTCCTGAGGGAAAGGTTTTCCCCTGAAAAAGTCTGGCATGACCAACTTGGTATCCTTGAGAGCTTCGGCCAGCACGTCGGAACCCTGCTTGGTTGTGGGCCAGTAGCCGAAGATGTCGTAGACCACGACGATCGCCTTCTTGGCGTCATCCGGTCCGATCGAGTAGGCGTCCAATCCGCCCAACTTCTCCGTCTTGCCTTTAGGAGTGTAGTCGGACTGGACCGGTGGGATCGAGCAGCAAGCCTTGTTGGTGTTGGCGGCCATGGTTGGGGCGGAGTAGAGAGAGCTTGATTCGACAGGGAGGGATCCTTGGAGGAAGTATGTGTGGTTGGGGGAAGGATTACACGCAGGAAGGAAAGAAGCCAATGGGCAGGGATGAGTAGAGTTTTCGAGTTTCGATTCTGGAAGAGGGAGGGAGGAGAGGGGGAAGCGGCCCTGATCGGCTTTTATAAGAGGTGCGGTGGTCGGCGTTTGAGCGACCAGTTCTCCCATCTCTCATTTCTAACCCGGCCAGGTTCCCTCTGATCGTCATGGGTCCCACTCTCAGTGTGGTAGAGTGGTGTAGGTTGATCTGATCGCACCCCCAACCCCCAACCCCCCCCCCCCCTTCCCTTCGATCTTTAACGCGAATGTGGAGGTTGGAAGATCGTCATCATTACGTTAAGGTTGCGGCCTCTTCCTCTCTCCACTAGGTTACATTCATTCACTCTCATTACCCCCTGGCCCATTACCCCCTGGCCCCTCCCCCTTCCCGTAAGCCCGCCGCAGAGCGACAACCAGGCAGCCGTCGGCTCGGCGATCGGATGAGAAATCGAAACAAGGGTGTGATTCGAACGTAATCACACCTTTCATTCCCAACTGGGGAGGGCTTTCAAATATTCGATGCAGTGTGCGGCGAACTTTCCCGCTAGTGGTTCCGCACTAAATATCGGGGTGGCGAAGATACCTTGCTCGCCTCGAAGGGCTCTTCATGTCAGCATGGGAATTGTGATCCTTCTTCCAAGGAGGCTAGAAACTTGTAGGGGGATGGGTTGAAAAAAAACTGGCAAGGCAATACTGGGGTTCGAACCCAGGTATGTGGAAGTCGAGTATCTATATCAAAATCCACCGTCGTGACCACTGGACCATATCGCCTCAGAAGTTGGTCCACCTTATGACACCAAACCAATATATATTTTGTTTCTAGAAGTAAGTCTGTTGTGGAAACGATTTAAGGCTACGACGTCTCCGAGAAAAAAATCCTTCCCATCTTCCCCAATCTTTTCATGTTGGTTTTCTTTTGATTTTGGTTTTTTTTTTGGGAACTTCTTTCCAAGAGAGTTCATTCGATTACAGAATCTCCTACTCGTTCACAGGATCATGAAGGGGAAGGGCCCCTGGGGTGGGGAGGATGGAATCAAGAGAAAAAGGAAAGGTGTGAGCAGATCTCACCCTATGACTGGTCGATGGCCCTTTCGTTTACAGGGTGGAAGGTGGACCGAACAGTGCCAAAGAGGAAGGGTAGGAAAGGAAAGGCCGAAAAGGAGGATTTTATTGCGAGCAATTTGCACGAAAGTAGGTATAGATGTGTGAATCCGTAAGGACGGATTCGTTTGGAAGGGAGGACGGTGGTGTTTCATGAAAAGGCTGCCCCCTTCCCAAGACCTTCTCCTTCAAAAGCACACGCGCCGTGCCAAAATCATGCGTTCAGATCAAGACCCTGCCCGTGATAGGAAGGTTTCAGAGTTTGACTCTTCCGGCCTCGATCGACGCAAGGTCGGCCGGGGTGAAGGGTTTGTACGAGTCCGAGCCGGGAGGGAGCCAGAACAGGCTGTCGCCTTGACACTTTTCGTGGTAGATGCCTTGGTTCCTGAAAGCCACCTTGAGCTGCTTGACAGTGCCCGTCTTCTCCATCACAGGCACGATCCTCAAAAATAGGGGCACCGCGTACTTTGGCAGCGACTTTCGCGCCACCGTCGCTAGCAGCTTCATGTCGAGCTTCTCGGCAAAGTCCTTCGGGATGGCGGCGCATCCGGCACGGCCGTCATGTCCGGGAACCAGGACACCGTAGACGTTGGCCTCTCCGACCACCTTCCCCAGCGCCGCGCTCACCTCGGCCGTGCTGACGTTTTCCGACCTCCAACGGAAAGTATCACCGAGCCTGTCGCCAAAGTAGAAGAAGCCGTCCGAGTCCTTGCTCAGCAGGTCTCCGGATCGGAACCAGGCATCTCCTTTGGCGAGAGCGTTGTTGAGGATTTTCTTCCTGGTCGCCTCCGGGTTGCCGGCATAGCCCTGGAACTTGGAGACGGCAGACGTGCCGATCCTCATGATGAACTCTCCTGGCTCGCCGGGACCGCACTCCACGCAGAGGCCAGTCTTGGGGTCGCGGTAAACGTCCTCAGTGATGGGGTCGACCTTGATGATCTTGAAGTCGGGCCTGATCTTGCTGGCCAGCCTCCCAAACCTTCCGACCGCTCCAGCCCCGAAAGGGCCCGTGTTGTAGTTGATCATGCCGCCATTTCCCTCAGAGGCGGCGAAGAATTCGGCGATGATCCGGACGCCGAACCTTTCCCTGAACTTTTCCCACACATCAGGTCGCATGCCATTGCCGTAGGCCATGCGAACCTTGTGGTTCTTGTCGTCGGCATGGGGAGGGACAGCCAGGAGGTATCTGGCGATCTCGCCGATGTATTGAACGATGGTCGCGTCGTTCTTGCGGACTTCATCCCAGTATTTTCTCGCCGAGAACTTGCGGCCTATGATGACCGTGGAGCCCGAGACCCAACTAGCACCGACACAGAGGAAAAGCGCGCTACTGTGGTACAAGGGCATCGGGGTGTAAATCCGATCGCTCTTCTTGAAATCGTTGGCGTAAGGCCAGACAACGATTCCGCTTCCCATCCTGCCATGAGAGCACAGTGCGGCTTTGGGTAAGCCTGTTGTGCCACTTGTGTAAATCAACGCGGCTGTAGTCCCCTCTTCGACCAAGTCTCGACCGGTGCTTGGGATCGGTTTCGTGGACTGCTTGGCGAGATCCGCTGGGCCGAAATGCGAAACCCTTTGGAGAGGGATGCTTGAGATGACTGCCTTTTCATCGTCATCCCTGGCCGGAGTGATACCGTCGTCATAGCTGATGAATTCCTGGACGGCCGTCTTGGCAAGTAGATCATCTTGGATCTGAGAGAGAGCGCCTTCGAGGTACGGCTCAAAGACCACCAGCTTGGCATTGGAGATGGAGATGCAATGAGTGAGGCCCTTGTCCGTGAGGCTGTTGTTGATGAAAGCCGGAGTGACATTGATGGCCATGCATGCAAGCCACCACTCGATAAGAGCGACAGAGTTCCCCATGAAGATTGCGATTTTGTCGTTCGGCTTGAGCCCTTTGCTAAGCATGAAATTGGCCAGGCGACGCACATCTGAAGGGGAAGATCATCGGCAAGACAAGGTCGCCGGATGGGGGAGAGGAGCGATGCGTCAGTTCCAGTCTCTACATGTCGTGGCTCTTCCCCTATCCTAGAGAGACGTCCACGTCCCTCTCAGCCATTCTCGAGACCGAGAAGGATGAGCCGAGGTCAGATCAAGTGTAGGTTTGCGAGGCTCCTCAAAGGGACAAGCCAGACACTGCTTGGGGCGGCGTCTAACCATCCCTCCGCCGTCAATTCTCTTGCGTTGTTCGTCACTCCTCGCCCCGCCAACTGGTAGAATATGCTCACGATGCCATTCGGGAAGTTTTACGTGGAAACATTACTTCAGCCGAGAGTGTGTATGCTTACCCCTTTCGACCTCCTTCCAAGTGAAGCTTTTCCCCAAGAAGACGTAAGCGATCGCGTCCGGCCTCGAGATCACCTGATCTTCGAAGAAGTAGTACAGGGAGAGCCTATTCCTCCAGACGCGGATGCGATGACTGATCGCAGCTCTGTTGGCGGCACCACCAATCCGAAGGTCGCTTGAGATACCATGCTTGGCGTCCAGGTAGGCGATAGCCGCCAGGCTAGCTGCAGCCTTGACGATGCCGCTCATCTTTCGATCTCTATCTTTACCTTTATGATCACTGCTCGCGAGTCAATGCCGCGGGATGATGAATGATCTCCTCAGCGAGGATTTTTTTTTTCAGAAGGCTGACTGCACCTGAAAGTGGATACGCTGGCGGGAGGTGGGTTGTTGCTGTCGGGCGAATGGGAGTGGGTTTGCAGAAGACCAAATGCGTACGAAACTGATTGTGCGGGGTGGTACGGTGAGGGATTGGAAGGACAAAGCTTTAGGGATGGAAGGGAAGGGGTGGATGGGGCAATAGTCAGGTCGATGGGAGGAGAGAAAAAATTCAAGTTGGGATAGTTCTTCGCTGCTTGGTAGCCCAAGAGTGAGGCTCGGCAGAAGCTGGAAGATATTGGCTCGGTGGGCGAGGGGAAGAAGCCCAAGTTAAAGTTAAGGGGCGCGGGTGGGTGGGGAGGATGGGATTCACATTGTGAAAGACGACAGCTCCATCCATCCGATGACTTACGCCGGGAAGTGGATAACTGGTATGGAGAGAAGAGAGAGAGAGAGAGAGAGATGGCGAGCGGCTGCCCGAATGCGGCATCGCCTCGTGAAAGAGGAGGCTAAGGGGCCATTGTGGTCACGCTTAAAACCGTTCGGTAGCCATTTTCGAATCCTGATACATTCACTTGAAAATAAGTTGAAAAAGTGAGATTGTGATGGGGGATCGCCTCCTCATCTCGAGACCCCGAAAGCCGGTCATACACCCACTCAATCCGATTGTTTCCCTTTCAAGGGCGCAACGGGGGAGGAGAGCAAGGTTACCGCTCATTAAAGTGGACAAGCAGGACGAGCCGGCGTTGGTGAGTAGCATCATGCTTCCTTGCTTTCTTTTCATTTTCGTGTACCGGTCTCGCCGACCCTGGCCTGAGACCTGGACCCCCTCCGCCCCCCTTTTTCATTTTTGCGTGTGAGAGTAGGCGACCCGCGGACGTGTTGGCGATGAGCGTATCCGATCACACTTTAGAGTGAAGGTCAAACCAAGCTCCTCGTGATAACAATCCTGAAGAGAATCCAAAACCCGATCTTTGCCTAGGCGTACACACATGCGTGGCTGAGGCGAGTGCAGTTCTCTGAATCATGTGCTGGACTTGCTCTTTGTGTGGAGGCGGATCGATTGACTTTCAGACTCGCAAGACGCTCTCATAACCACGATTCGCCACCCAGCCATTCTCGTCTTTGGTTCCGGGCCCCTTGCGGACCTTGAGTAGATCACACACCACACACACTCACTTTGTGATTCAGCCTCAGTGACTCGTCTTTTAAACAGGAGGTTGGAAAAGGTGAGTCGAGCTGGATGGACGGATGAGTAGTTGAGAATGGACCAAACTGACCAGCCTCGACTCCAAGCCCATTCTGATTGGGGATTTGACAATCACTCTTGACCCTGGCTGGGATCGATCGTTCTTCTTCTCAGGTTTCCTGATCACGCACGCATCGATAACACCATCAAGTCCGGCTTCCAACATCCGATCAAAGTCGGATCTGTTTTTCGCAAAAGCAACCCCCCCAGCTCGAGCGACTCGCCTCTTTCAGGCTGATTGTGAAACCAAACCCCAATCAGCGATACCCCTATCTCAAAGCGATCCACCCAGCAGAAGAAGGAGGGCGGAAAGCACCGAAGAGGCAAAGATAGGAGGAGGTCGGAAGCTTTTCCTCTCGAGTACGATTCGATTCCCCGTCCCTTGTCTGTGGGAAACTGGCGGATCCTTTTTTAGCATTCCCAATCTAGCACTCTTGCCCGATCGGGATCAGGATGGCTCTCAACTGGGCCATGTTGGACGACGTGTCCTGCCAGCCGGTCCCTCTGCCAGAAGAGCAGACCTTCTTCCAGGTCGGCAATTGCAGCCTTAGGTGAGGGTCGCTTTGCCACCTGGGTTCAAACAAGCTCATATCCTGTCTTCTCGCTCCCTCGTTGCCGCTCCTCAACGTTTTTGGTGCCCCGATTTCCTTTTTTTCGATTTTTTCCTGTCCCTGTCACAGCCTGAAGTTTGGAGACCAAAAGGTCCACTACGAAGCGGAGGGCTCCTGTTACGTTACAAACCAACGGGTGAGCCACCTTTTCTTTTTTATGTCCTCGGATCTCTTCCTCAGCTTCAGCACCTTGAGGTTCGACTCCC